AAGCTCGACCACAATCCTCCATCCTCGAACCTGGATCCCGCCTCCCTTCTCTCCTCCGAGGCCCTCGACGTCGTGATCTTTCATGAAGTGAGCCCCCAGAGGTCAGAATCCCTTCTTCGGGAGCGGTTTTTCCTCCCGACTTGTTTGTTGACGGCCACTGCGCTTGGCATGGGCCCTGGGTAGCCGAGGATGACCCCAAACCCGCCGTCGTTCTTCTACGACGCTAGGGGGCCTGAAGCGACGACGACGACGACGACCTTAGAATTCCAGACCCCTTCCCGAGGGGCAGTTTCGGATTGAACTCCCTCTCCTCCGACGCTGCAGTTTGCTCGTGGCGTCGATCCCCAGGGCCCAGGGCTGCGACCACCTCCCAGAGGCGCTGGATCTCGCGACATTTCTTTTGGCGCCGCCGGGAGGCCAGGACGGACCTCGAGATCGCGAACAAAGCGCAACATCTTGCAAAAAAGACTAAAAGTCCTGGACCCTATCTCTTTATGTCATTTCTCGAGCCAGATCGATCTGTGAGGTCCGCGGCGCTCGAAGCTGGGCGAAAACGCGTGCTGTGAGCAAAAAACTGCAACGCCGGATCTCAGATCTCATACATGCGGTTTCCTAATTGTTTCAATACGCGGTACCCTGACACCAGATCCGCCGTTTCTCCATCGATGGCGAAAGTAGAGCGGAGAGCTCCAAACCACTTTTCAAGCTCCTCTGATGTCCATTCCCGCCCTACTTTGCCGTCGCTTTTTCCGCCCTCCATGTTGCGAAACTATCTATTACAATTTTACGAGGCGGGAATTTCCGCCCTGCATTGTCGCATAATTTGAGGTGCATCTCCGACGTAATATGAAGTCGAGAAATCAGTCAAACTACGGAGGATCCAGAGTCAGCGTCCCCCAAAGTCCATAACCTTACGTCGGGCATGCCCCCTCTACTGGAGGAACTTAGTAAAGTCATAGTATGGGGACGATTGTTCTAGTATTGTTTGATTATTGTTGAGTCTTATGTTTGCTTCCCCCCCCCCCGTTTTTCTTCAAATATCCAAATGTAGGAAGCCATACCCAACCTTACCCTAACCAGTCCCAGGGGCCGGCTTTTCACGAGTCGTTCTTCGTCGAGGCTCAAGAGACGGGGGTCAATGCAAACGAGGGTCAGCCAGAGCGCCAGATCTTGCAGGATCCTGCAGGGCCAGGGTCGCATTGACCCGGGTGTGTGTGTGCAGTCTCCTGCAGGATTTTGCAAAATTCTTCGCGTTGACCCGGGGTTGGATGCAGGATCTTGCAGCATCTTGTGGGATTCTGCAAGGTTTGATTGACCCGGGTTTGGATTGACCCGAGTCAGAAGATCCCCGATTTCGACGGCCCTGGTGCCCAGCGAGGGCCCCGTGGAGGTCGAAATCGACAGAAAAATCCACCCGTCGTGTTTTCTATGTTTGTCCACGACGCGAGCATAGTTGTAATCGTGTCGTTTCGATTCTTATGATTCGATTCGATCCGATTTCGATTGTCTCCGATCCGATTCGATTTCGGATTCCGATTTGGACTCCGATTCCTTACTGGAGGCATGCTAGCCTGCCGATTTCTGCCGATTCGACTTCTCCCGACTGGGCTGCCAATTTCCGCCGATCCGATTAATTTCGATCGCCGATCCGACTTGTCGGTTCGATTCTAGGCTCTCCTGTTTCGTTGGTCTCCATGGGCCTCCCCTGCCTCCAAATCCGCCATACTTTGGTTGATGTTGCGATTGTGTTGGAGTTGCACCCCAAAGGGTGCGAAAAAGTAGGGCGGAAACTTCGGGCTCGGAAAAGTAGGACGTAGATGTATATATATATATATATATATATGTATAGACACACACATACATACATACATACATACATACATACATACATACATACATACATACATACATACATACATACGTACATACATACATACATACATACATACATACATACATACATACATACATACATGCATGCATGCATGCATGCATGCATGCATGCATGCATGCATGCATGCATGCATGCATGCATACATACACATATATGTATACATCCGCAAAAGATGGCGGCAACAGCGACGGCAAAGCAGGGTGGAAATCTACATCAAACGGGCATGGAAAGTAGGGCGGGCATTGCCGCTCATTTTGCGACATCGCCCACACGGCGGATCCGGAGTCAGGAGATCCTCGGAAGTCCCGACCTTGTTTTTGGGACCAGTTTTTCACTCCGAGTCGTTTTTGATAGCCTCGGCGCTTGGCGAGGGCTCCCAGAGCCCGAACACGGCGGACAAGTTCCCGTCGTATTTTTTGCACGGCGCGAGCATGTCTGGGACCTCCTTGCTTCCTCCCTCGTTGCCTCCCTCCGATCCTCCTCCCCCCCCTCGCTTGTCCCTCTCCTCCTCTCCGGCTCCTCGGTTTCTGCCTTGGCCCCACCGCGGGCGGCCGATCTCTCGGAGGGACAAGGCCTCGACACTTCCCCCTCGGCGGCCTTCAGCGGTTGTCGTGCCAACACGCCCTGCTGGGTGTGCGGCTTGAGTCTCGTCCTCTGCTCGGGGAGACCGAAATTGGTGCAGAATCATTGGGTGCAAAGTCCAACAGCTCAGCATGTCTTGTTCGCTCTGAACCGGATTCGCTGTCGGCGTCGCCGCGGCCGTTACCCATTTGAGACACACATTCGCCTTCCCTGCAGCGGCCGTTGTCGGTTTTGCATTACACATTTGCCGTTGATCGTCGGACCCATGGTTCCGTCCCTTTTTGCGGGTGTTGTTCATTCTTCACGTTTCGCGCATCCCCCCCAGCCAATTTAGAAGCCCTGCCCATGAAAGTTGACAGGAATAGTGACGAAAAGGCACACGTAGTGAAACAGAGCGGGCAACCAGGATGAACAGAGAGATCTCTGGGAGCAAGTGGTTTGCCTTGGAGGGTCTCATCGGGCCCGCGTGGAGGCGAGGGAAAGAGGAGGACGAGGAGGAGGAGGAGAAGGACGACGACGACGAATACGACGACAACCGCGACGAGGAAGAGGAGGACAGGGAAACGGAAGACCATGAAGGCAAGGATGAGGACGAGGACGAGACAGAGGAGGAGGACAACGAGGACGAGAGCAGAGCCCTCGAAATCGCCTCTTGGAGCTTTAATTAGACTCTTTTGGGAGATGTTATCCTGGGGTCCTCTTGGGGCGTTCTTGAGGGGTACTGGGGCCCTCTTGGAGCCCTCTTGGGGGTCCCTTCGGAGCCCGACCTCTGGGGGCCATCTTGGATGCCATCAACCAAGAGCCTCTCCCCCCTGGAGACATCAAAATGCCCTCTTGGGCCGCTCCAGGGCGCTCTTGGGGCCGTCTTTCTTGAAGCCTCAAAAGCGCATCGGAAGCGAAACGGCGAGCAGGCAACAATCATTGATGATCCGTAGATTTTTGAAGGACCTTGGCTGCTTGGAGGTCCTGAAGGGGCTCCGAGAGCACTCGGAACCGTCTTGTGGCCCTCGTCGGGTCTCTTGGAGGTATGTTTGAAGCTATATTGAACCACCTTCGGCTACTATCTCGAGCCGTCTCGGAGGCCATATTGGAGCATCGGAGGCCCTCTTGTAGCCATCTTGGGCGCCCTGACGCTTCGCGGCCCGCCTCAAGAAACCTCAGGGCGGGGGTGGGGATGTAAACCTCCCTGAAGGGAAGAGGTTTTTGGAAGACTCGCTGGACCACCTTAGCCCAAAGGGCTGGTGGGACTAGAAGGGCCCCTGGCCCAAGGTGCCTCCCAGGACTTCTTTGGAGGTCCCCACGGCCTCCAGAGCACCCTCCTAGAGGTCCAGGGGGGCCCGAGGGGCCCCCAAATGGGCACATTGTTTTTTTTTCCCAGACTCAACGCGTGTACAGTGCAAAATGCGTGCTGATAGCACGGCCCTCTGTGGGGCCTCTGAGGTAAACGGCTGCCAAGGTGCTGCTGCTGCTGCTGCAAATCCGTCTCTCCCGCCTGTGCTACAACTGTGTACGTCACCATCTTGCCAGAAACGGAATCCAGACCGATCTTCACACGATGCTCGAGTTTATATCACTCGATGCTCAGAAACTGGGGGGGACAACATGGAGCGAAAAGCTGGAGGCGCCTTGGGCCAGGGGCGCCTTCAGCGACCCCTGGCATGTGGGTGGTGCGCTAATGGCCGGTGCTCGGTGATGCCTCAGCTGTCGCGACGCACCGCTCCCGCCGTGGTGCTCCGTGGGCGGCGGCTCGTGGCTCGTGATGCGTGGGGCCTCAGTGGTCGCGATGCCTCGCTCGCGCCCCCACTGTTAAAGGCTTAACGACTTCTGCCGTCCTTCGACTCGCGCTGGAGCGGCCGCGAGTTGCTCCAACTTTCCCTGGAGATCTCTGGATTTGCCATGATTTACCTGGGTGTATCTCGATTCACCTGGATGTACCTGGACTTGTCTGCATTTACCTGGATTAATCTGGCTCCATCTCCATAAGTCGATTGACGAAAAAGTCTACAAGCCCTTAGGGACCCCAACTGGATGGATCAGCCCGCAGCCCCCGCAGCGCACGTGAAGCCAACTCCAGCAACCCCCAGGCTCTCCGTGGGCGGGGCCAGGGCGAGGACAAAGCCGCTCTGGGGCTTGCTGGAACGCTCTCGCAGCGTTCCGGAACTCTCTGAGAAGGCCGCGGCGCCCGATGCATCCTCCAGATCCGCCGGATCCCAGAGATTCTCACGTTTCGGGCGGGTGGTAATGGGGGGTTGCCCAAATTGGGGGTGAAGAAAAAGGCCTTTTTCTTCACCCCTCTTCGGGGTACCCCCCCATTACCACCCGCCCGAGAGTTGCAGAAGGAGGAGCAGAAAGAGGAGGAGATGAGGAAGGAGGAAGGAGGAAGGAGGAAGGAGGGACGAGGGACGAGGGACGAGGGACGAGGGAGGAGGAGGGAGGAGGAGGAGGAGGAGGAGGAGAAGGTTATCCTCACCCAATGTTCTCCTCGTCCTGGCCGCGTCTTCTGTTCGGGCGGCCGGACCCGCAGGCGCCGGCGGCGAGGCCCCCGCCGCCGCCAGAGGGCGCGAGGGCGGAGCCCCCCCGCGAGCGGCCGCCCGCGCCCGCGGCGAGGCAGCCGCCCCCGGAGAGGGAGGAGCCTCCGCGCGGGCCGGCCGTGGGCGCCTCGGGGCGGTGGGCCGCCCACCGCGCCGCCGTGCGGCACGCTCGCCATGTCGCGGTCCCCCGGCGTCCGCGTGCCGAGCTTTTCCGAGCCTCCCGCCCCGCGGAGCGTAGCGACACGCCATCCGCCCGCAGGGCACAGCGCGTCGCCGAGGCCGCCTTGGCGGAGATTCCCCACCAGAGCCCCCCAGGCCATGTCCTGCACAACTCGCGACGTCGGAAATCAGGGGCGGGCCCAGAAGCCGAGCCTGGGTACGGAAAGAATGGGCACAAAGACCGACGGCAGTTCCATTCCGAACAGGGCTCGCTGTCGGCGTCGCCGCGGACTGTGTCCATTTGAGACGGAAGGCCGCCTGCCCGACAGTGGCTGCTGATGGTTTGGGATGCCATTCGTTGTTGGGCAGTGTACTCATTTTTTCCGTGCCCATTTCGGGCGTCCCGCCATTCGCGATGCCCTTGCGTGTCTCGGCGGCGAGCGAGAGGGGGAAGTGAGAAGGCGGCGGGACTTCTCAGAAGCCCGCGTGCTTTCTGAAAAAATTTGTTTGTCTCCGGAGATAGAAGACTTCTCAGAAGACCAGGGGATTTCCGAGCCTTCTGAGAAGTCCCGCCCCTTCTCATTTCCCCCCCGGGCGCGCCGCCTATCCGCGTCGACCGGTTGTTCGCGACGCCCCGCCTCGTTTGGCATCGCTCGGACGCGACTTCGCGTGGACGCGTTTGCGCGGTAGCAAGTCATGGGAACCTGGAATACCTTTGAATTCCGTCGTTAAACGCCAACGACGGAATTCAGAAGGTAGCGTCGATTAGCGTCGAAGAGCGTATGGCGTCGGTTAGCGTCGATTGGCGTCGATTTAGCGTCGACTAGCGTCGATTCGCAAGAGCCGACAAGATGGTATGGGAGTGAGGCCCCCATGAGTTGCCACCGAACGTTTGCGCGGCCAGCCTTACATCAAATATTTCTGCGGAGGCGGACCGTGCCGCCAAAGTGTCCCGCGATGCGGCTCGTTCGGCCGATGGCGCCAGAGCGCCCAGCTCCGTAAAATGCTGCATAGCTCGGACGTGTGCATTGCTCCTCGGCGGGGGCCATCGAGGAGCATCCTGCATCCTCGGGCAAGCAATAAACAAATGCACGCACGAGGCCGAGACCTGCGCACGGGGGATGGACGCCCGAGCGACGGCACGGCTGGCGGCGCGTACAGGGGCTTGGCATCGCTCGGAGGTGTGCATTTTTTCTCGGCGAGAACCATCGAGGACCATCCTGGACCATCGAGCAAAAACACACACACACACACACGCACGCACGAAACCGACAAATACACGGGAAATGGACTTCCGAGCGACGGCAAGAGGGGGCAACAAGCACGGCGGAGCTCGAGATCAGAGGTGCCTGGACCGCAGGGCGGAAGTTCGCGACATCGCCCAGGGAGCACCGCGGGTCCGGGCCAGGGGGCGCCCGGATTCTCGGCCACGCGCAGAGGGGGTCGGGGGAGGGGGGGAGGCCTCTCACAGTCGGGGCGCTGACGAAGGGGCCCTTTTCGTTAGAGAGGGTCTCCGTGCTCCTTGATTTGACTGTTTCGCAGCTTGCCTTAGGTTGTCCTTATCTTCTGGAAAAAAGGGGCCTCGTTCGTTATAAAGGGTTCCTTCGGTCAACGCCTCGACTGTAGAAGCACCCCTGCTTCTTAGAAGGCCTGCGCCTTGCCTAGATAGATTTAGGGCCGGCGCCTTTGAATAAGCACCCTTGCGAAGAAGCCTTCCCCCCTTCCCCCGACCCCCTTGTGGGCGCCGCTGCGCCCACGCGTCGGCCGGCCGTCAGCGACGCCCTGCCAGGGCGTACGTGGTCGGGTGTCAGCGCAATCATAGGGGATTGCGAAGTCCCTGGAGACGGGACGGGGGTGGACATGGGTTGGGATCATAAGCTGGCCCACTACCAAAAAGAAACATCATAGCTTCTACGTCAGTACACAAGACTGATCCACTGACGGATCCAATGCATCTTCCATTCTCTGGCATCAAACTCATGCGAAGCTGCATGGCCCTCCCCTCGGGTCACGAGATGAGAACGGCGGAAGGTGTTCCGCTGCTCTCGGCCTGTGGGGACCCTCTCGGCGGGCCACGGGGCCGTCACAAAACCACTCGGGATGAGAAACCGGTCCCGAGGAATGTTCAGGAGGGGGCAAAACATTCAGACACAACTAGTCGTCGATCCCCGGGAAAATATGATAACATATAGGAAGTGGGGGGAAGACACAAATGCAGAAAATATACGAAAATATAGGGAATCCTGGGATTTGTATCTATTTATTTGTGTGTCCCAGGGCCCTTTCAAATGTGTGGAGAGCGCTGGGGGTCGACGTCATGAACAAACATGCTGTCTGGGTCTGCACTGGGTTTGCGCTGAGCCTGGTTCATCCACGCCCGACGTCGCGCTTCGGTAGCGGAGTTCGATCGCGCCAGGTTTCGGTCGCGACCGTCACGAAGAGACGGCGCGTCGGGGTCCAAGCGGGGGTTTCGAAGACGTCAACGGCTCGCTCGTTGCGAAATTCGCGACCAGAGGCCGAAGTTCGGCCGCGACCAGTTCGTCCAGAGCGTTACCTGAGACCAGACCTCCAAACGTATTCAATCAAACAAGACGTGCATTTTCCATAGTTTTCGGCCCCCAGTAGCCTTCGCCGGGCCCCAGTGATGGGCCAATTTCCACCACCATTACCATGGTTGGGACGTGGGAGAAGGGAGGATCGAGAGGTCCTCCTTCTCCTCCTACTCCTTCTCCTTCTCCTTCTCCTTGTCCTCCTCCTCCTCCTCCTCCTCCTCCTCCTCTCCTCCTCCCCCTCTTCCTCCCTCTCCTACCTATGGTACTGGTGGTGGAAAATCAGCCCATCACCCAGGACCGTAAAAAAACACCCGGGATGAAAAACCGGTCTCCAGGAAGGCTCCTTTTAGATCAAGGCGCGGTTCTTCAACAGCGGGCGTTTTCGCTCGGGCTGGGGCCCTGATCAGGCTCGAACAACACAACGCCGCAGAAGAATGGGGTCTAGGTTGGAGGGCCAATTTTACCCGCTTATAGAAGACCAACATCCGTGGCCTATATTCAAAATATTGCTTTCATTGTTTAGCCACAGGCGTCTGTGAACACATTGGATGTCGTTACATACAAATAGACATATACATGTGTATATATATATATATATACAGACATTCGGGGTGGATGTGCCTATAGACAGCGCCGCCGTCGCGGTCGGCGCAGTACAATGTCGGAGAAAGGGTAGATCCGTCCACGGTCGAAACCAACTGCCCAAACCCAACCCGAGCAGCCCAACCACCCAACCCACAAGCCAGCCAAGCAGCCCAACTAGCCCAACCCGCCACCACACCAACCCGCCTACCTCAGCCGCCTGCCTTCTGTCACTACGAGGTGGAGGGAAATGTTTCTTACCAGCGAAAATAGCTGTGAACCGCCCTCTGGGGCGAGTGTTCTTCTCGGCGCTCCCGCGTTTTATCTTCTGTTTTGTATAGTTTATGTGTTTCACCTGTTGTGTTTTGTGTTGCGCCGGTTCTTGTTTGCTTCGTTTTGCTTTTCGCTTTGTTCTGCTTTGTTTCTTTGTGTCGCCTGAAATATACATCCGAGTGTAAAGCCGTTCAAAAGGGTTCTAATCCAGACAATCCGAAACACATGGTAAATCGCGTGCGAAGGAATCCAACTTGCAAAGCTGCACGAACAAATTCTGTTTGTAGCACACACACAATAAGAATCACTTTGTACATCGCCTACACAGGGAATCCAACTTGTCATGCCGCACGCAAGGATTATGATTGCAATCCGCGCAATAGAAATCAATGTGTACATTGCCGGCAAAAAGAATCCCATTTGCAAAGCAGCACGACATGCTTCAATGTATAATCCACACAATAGGAATCAATGTGTGAATTGCATGCAATTGGATTTCCTGTGAAAGGGAGCGGGAAAAGTTTGAGAGGAGCGCAGTACAAATACAAGAAAACACAAAACATGGCATTCCCCACCGTTTTTTGGGGAGGGGAGCCAGGGGGCGGGGGCACGAAAGAAACAGGAAAACGGTGGGAGATGTCATGTTCTGTTTTTTTGTTTGCTCGCTCTTCTTCCAAACTTTGTCCGGCCCCCTTTCATTGGTAATCCGTTCTGTAGGCGATTTGCACATTGGTTCTTATTGTGTGGGTTGCAAGTAGAATCCTCTTGTATGGCTTAACAATATGATTCTTTTTGTAGGAGATTTACACATTGATTCCCAGTGGGTGGGTTCCAAGTAGAATCCCCTCTGTGCTATACAAATGAAATTCCTTTCGTAGGCGGGTTAGACATTGATTCCCATTGTGCGAATTGCACATAGAATTTTCTTGTATAGCTTTACCTGTAGGAATTCTTGTATAGGCGACCTACATATTGATTCATATTGGGCGGTTTACATAGAATCCTTCCGTGCGGCTTCACAATAGGATTCCTTTCGTGGGCGATGTATGGGTTCATTCCTACTGCAAGGCGTGCGCATGGAATCCGATCGTGCGACTTGTAATAGGATTCCTCGCATGAGAAGTTACACATACATACATGTATATATACAGCGGTGCGCGTCACACATAAAGTATAGTTATGCGATGTGCCTTAACATATTGTTGCGGACGGTTTATAAACCGATTCTTATCGCGTGATTGGCAAAGGTCGACGGGTATGCATATATGTAACATAGAAAACCTAGATTGGCATACACACACATATATATGTATATACACAGATGTATATACATACTTATTTATGTTCTCCCCCCTATATATATCTATATATATACATTCCCCTATACACATAAATAGGTGAGTCGATTGATTAATTCAGTCGTTTCGGCAATCGTCTTTACCAAAATTGCGTCTGGGTACGTGAGAGTTCGCTCTTACAAACACAGAACCTGTGTAATCTAATCGTCCTCCAATTACAGCCCAGTCGTCGTCGT